TTCAGTCTGTCTTAGAAATAAGCCTGAGGTTCCAGACGTGCAGCTTTGTTTTTCCTTGTGCTGCAACATGAAATAACTCAAATTCGTCAGTTTTTAGTCCTTTAGGATTCATCACTAAAGTTCCTTTTTTGTTTCCTAGGAAAAAAATTGTAACCAGGTTTCAGATGTGGCATGTACTGAGTTTTTTGGGAGAAGGGGAAAAAATCCCCAAAAAATCCCAAAAAACTAAATCCCAAACCTAACCATGACAACACTGCAATTTTAAATTAGACTTATGGTATGAAGCCAGTTTTAAATAACATAAAGAAGGCACAGGAGGGGTTATTAGTATGTAATTACTATCATAATGTTTTATTTACAATGTCTAGTCTCCTTGAGTCTGAGCAGATTTGAAAAACCTTTCAGTTTCTCTTGATAAAATAAACTGATATAGCCAATCTGATTTATATTTACATATGTAAATCAAACCAATATGTGTCTAGAGCACACATGGACTAACTCAGTCCAACTGCTTCAGAGCTGGTTGTGAGGAATGATATGGGGTAGAGGTAAGTGGAGATACCTTTTATCAATTTTTTTCTTAAAATCACTGCTAATTATGATACATTTGAATAAATTCTTTATTAATCTGTTTTCTGACATTAGAGTGAGACAGATATAGGTCTGATATTCAGTTTGTGGCATTCCTAATAATCTAGATTTCTGACTTGCCTAATTCTGCAGCAGATCATGTTAGGGTGTTAGAGTTTGAAACTGAAATAAAGACTCACTCTGCTATTTTATCAGGTATTTATCCTCATTTGTGTTCTGGTTTTGATTTAGTGTTGTTAATGTTGTGCACATGGGTGGGATAGGGCATATTTCATATCTAATGTGGAGACATTGATTATTCCATTAGAAGTGATGGCTGCTTGATTTACTGATAGTGTTATATTTGAATAATTTAGTCCAGAAGTTATATTCTCCTTTTTACTTTAGCATTTGAAAGCTGAATGCTACTGCTGAGACTGGCAATTCGGTTTTGCAGCTTTAGAGTTTCTCTTTTTGTCATGGAGCTAATGAAGGATTTTTTTATTTTAAGCTGACAAAGTGAACCAAATATAGAACTTGGTCTTGTGATCAAGAAATCATATTTTTTCCTTTAGCCTCTGCTACTAATACTATTTAGATCTTTAACCATAATAAGAACTAAACATGGAATTCAGGCATTGGTCCCCAGAACTGGCACATGGCTTCTTATTAATGTTCAAAGGCTAAAAATCTGAAGCCATTTTGAACTCAGAACCCATCATGTATTTATTTCCCTCTCTAATTTGCAGAAAACTAGTTGTGAAAACAGCCCCAGGGACCTGATATTTTTCCATCCCATCTGCTCCAGCTGAACTACAGCTGCAAAAAAAAAAAAAATCTTAAGTATTGTTTCTATAAACTGTTGAGTGTATTTTATAACACAATAATTCCCACAAAATCAGTAACTGCAGTTAATGACTGGTTTGTTAAGGCATTAACTGCACTCAGCTGGGAATGACCAATTTCTCAGGAATGGCTGTATAAGAACTGAAGCTAATTCAGTTACACTTTCAAATAATTGTTTGGTTAATTAATGGTAGATTCTTGTGGAAATCCTATCAAAGTGCTCATGACCCCCACATTTAATATCCAATGAGTTCATTATGATTCATGTTTTATTATAAATACCAGAAGAATCCATAATGACTAGGCCATTATTTTCCAGGGCTGCCCTTACTGCTTTAGGCCATTTGGCTATTCCACCTTCAGTCATAAAAAGCTTGATGCTCAAAACTTACCAGCATTTGTAGGCCACAATTTTCTGGCACTCCACCAAAACTTTGGTGATTTTTTTATGAACACATTTGGCAGAAATCTGGTTTTTTGGGTTTTTTTTTCCTTTTACTTTTTCCAGTTAGGGCAATAATTGATCCTTACTCTACCCAGTCATAAGGAAGTCTTCCTTGCAATGGCTCCTTTTTCAGCAGTGGTCAAAAATAGCAGAAAAGGTATCACTTGGTGCTTTGGAAAACTCCTTTCCAGCCAGCTGCTGGGCAGGGTTTGACATTATTACAGCCAAGTCTTTATGCAATGCTTCACTCAGGGTTAATTAATTAGCATTCAGATGAGTAGAAAATAATTAGAAAAAAGGAAGCTTGGTACCGACATATTCAAGTAAGCTGCCAGTTGATGTTTTTGGAAGTACCAGTGTAAAAGGATGAGAATTGGCTTGGTACAACCACCTCCTCTTGATTGTCCTGCAGTGTTTTACTCTCTGGATCAGGAATTGTCCCTGAATTTTGTGTGAGAACTGACAAAATCACAAGGTTCTGCTTTTCCTTCCTAAGTGCATCCATAGGGAAAGTAGAACAGTGAAACTTGCAGACATCAGCCTGAAATCTCTGCCTTTCTGGGAAATTCAAATGAAATTAAACTTAAAACACATATACCATTAAATACTTAAAAGATGGGTTAATGGCAAACTGTTTGCCTTCAGCTTTTGTTTTGTAGTTTGCTTTTATCCACAAGTAAGAATTAATTTGTTTTACTCACAATTGAAAAGTACTTCCTTGCTGAGGCTGTCCAATGGTTGTGACTTAAATGCTTTAAACCCTTCTCTGTTCCCCCTGTTGACAATAGGACAGGGCAATTCAGGAAAATTGGTCAGGTAACTGCACAGCAAGGAGGAATTTAAATTCGTTTCTTCTCTTGAAAACTAGAACTGTCTTTGCCTTTTGTGTGTCATGAAATCTGCTTTGTGGAATGCATTTTTAGAGAATGATTTAGGTGCTGGTCAGTAGAAAGCAACTCTTTAGGAGTTTGTTCAAATAAAATAAGTTTATTTGGATTCCAGATATTCTTCACAATTTAGGTTGAGTATCTGGGTATTTTTGACTATTTTTGGTAGTTTTGAAATTGAGATAGTGCTGTCATTTAGCACTGACAGCCAAGGTGGTGTTCAGGCATCAGAAAGGTTTATGTGACCAGTAGACCTTTGAAAAAACAGGGGTTAGAAAATCCTGCAGAGTTTCCTCTAAGAAAGAAAACAGAAGGTCTTTATCTTTTACTTTTACTTTACTAATATCAGCCTATTATGATTGAAAATAAGCCACTAATATTGCCAAATACCAGGGAGCTGCTGAGCTTACCAAATATAAAACTGGACCTTCACTGATGCTTTATGTTAGCACAAATAAAACTTGCAAAGATGGGGAAGAAAAAACCCACAAAGGACAGAGGGTTAAACAGTAACATTTAGCATCATTCTTATTAATGGTCTGGCAGTTCATATGTGCTGAAGGTCTGGTCAGACTTCATTCCAGTTCTTCTTGTTGGTGTTTTGGGGAGCTTTTCTCTCTTTTATACTGGCTTACCTTTTATTTCACACAGTTTCCTGCATTATCAGCTAAGTGTAATTGTAAATTGAGTCTTAAAAGTCCTAAATACAGGCATGGAGTGTTAAGAGCAGTATAAACAGATTTTTTTTTCTTTAGACCCTTGAAATTTGGAGGAATAACTTCTCCTGTAAACTTCTAAATTTGTATAGAATAAACTTTTACCTGTATGTGTGGGAAGTTTTTTTTTTTTTGTGAAAGTATTGTTTTCCCAATGTTCTGCAGGTGAATAGGTAGGTAAGGTGACCAGTCACAGGAGAAGCACTAAAGAGAGCACACACTTCATTTTGTTTTCTGTGCTTTTATTTTCATAATTATCAGAGTAGCTTTCACATTTGGGCATTATCCTTCCTCCCACATTAAATGTATGGACAATTGTGATACCAGTTATATTTTTTCAAGCAGATAAGGCTAAAAAGCTTTGAAAGGTCAGCTCTGATTTTAGATTTAACATGGCTAAGAATGCTTCACTCACTTGTATGGCAGCTGCCAGAGGGCTTTCATGGGTCTCTTTGGATAATTCAGTTTTGAAAAGGGCTCATTCTCAGGATAAAGGCATCATATCATATCCTTGCTGCTCAAAGGAAATTCCAGCCCCCAGTGATGTATGCAGAAGGGAAATTTTGCTTTTTGAAATCTTTGTTCTTTGCCAAATTGTTACATAGATATTTTCTGACTTAGCATCAATAGAAGTGGGAGGTGGGGTATTGCTGATGAGTTGTGTAAGAACTGTGAGTGAATCTGGAGTTGGTGACCTTATTACATCCTGGTTTCACTAAGGTACACATTGAATGCAGGGTTTATCCCATATATAGCCAATATCCTGCTCGTGCAGGGCTGGAGGAGAACTTGAGAATGCTCAGTGGGTTTCAGCAGTGAGTCAGAAGCAAATTTGTCTCTGTTGTTCTTAAACATTTGTATGTTTGTGTAAGACGATTTTATAGAACCTTTCAGTTAAATACTTCACACCCCACTCACATTAACTGCTCCAGATTTCCTTGGGAGTCTTTGTCTTTGGTAAATACGACTGTGAAAATACACTGATGGAGTTTTTGATGTGTATGAAACACAAAAGGCACCAATGGGATAATATTGTTGTTTAGGACAACCAGTATTTAAATAATATTGTTATTTAAAACAACCAGTATTTGCTTGAAGGCAGTAGATTCCTTCTACAACACCTCTTAGTGGTACTTAGTTCTTATTTTTTTCTCTCTGCCACTGGTGAATTCTTTATTAATTTCAATAGGAATATCCACAGCTAAATCTTAATTTTCTAGCTGGAAACTGATTAAGCCTTTCTCTGGATGACCAGTCATTATTAAGCATTCCTTTCACAAAATAAATACCTTGCAGAGTGGGGTTAAGGAAGTGTTTTGACATGCTGGGAAGAGGAAGGAATATTTACCATTGCCCTGGTTCCCTCTTTGCATTAATATGTGGTCCATTTGGCCAGGCCAGGACCCTTTCATTAAGGTGTCATTTCTGATTTAAATTTTCCATCTATTAGCTAGGATTGTTCTGCTTTTCATTTTCTTTCCTCTTTTGAGTATTTAACAACAGCTAATAGAATAATACATTTTTTTCTCCTTCTAGGAAACGAAAACAACAAAAAAGTCGCGATTTGCATTCTGTATCACATCAGCATGGACGATTGCTTTAAATCGATGTTTGCATACACAGACTGTATCCCTCAGGTACGTGATGAGCTGATCAAATCCCTCTTCCCTCGTGCTCCGAGCGCCTCCCTCGCTCATGGCAGAGCTCGCACTGACACCCGCAGGTGACAAAGGGAACAGCCACGGTGCTGCTTGGGGACTGTTCTTTGGGCTTTCACGGTCCCCTGAAAATCAGAGGTGACCGATCTCTGTCACTGCTGCTGACACTTGAGCTGCACCAGTGAACTGCTGAAATTACAGGTGACCCGGAGGATTCCTGCAGAAGATTGGGAATGCTTCAGAGAGATTAAAGCTTGTGCAGAGCAGCTCCTTAGGGAATGGAGTGGAAAGTATTTCCTTAACAGTTTTAGAAGGCATTCTTGCCTGATCCCATTGGGTATCAAAATGTCAGTGTCTCCAGTATTGCAGGATATGAGCTGGAAACCAGCCAAGGAGGGTTACATTCCTACATGACAATTCCTTTTCCAACTGAGGCATGTACAGCAAGGGAGACTTGATGACTGTGGAAGGCTCTTCACTAATCTTTCAGCCTGCATTTTGTTACTTAACTCATTGACTCAAGCAGACACAATGTCATGGGGTTTGGGATTTTGTGGATGTGTTTGGTTTTTTGTGCGCATGTGTTTTGTTTCTTGTTTGTTTTAGTTTTTGGTTTTTCTCAAGCACCAAGTCCTCTCTTACTGACCTTTTTCTCGGCCCTGGTGAGGCTGGAGTTGAGAAAGCCTGTGTTGCCTAAGAGTAAAAGCTCTTTGGTAGCTTCTTCAGAATTGCACCATGGTATCTTCTTCTGCCAAATAGGTTTTTACATCAAATACTTCCAGAATGGAAAGTTGTCATGGAAAGTTATCAGAGTGTTTCTGGTCATTACCTTATGGCAAAATCGGTGAAGTTTTTCCATGTACTAGATGATTTTGGATAATAGAGAGGGGAGAACTGGTGGGAATAACTAATCTATGTTACAAAGTGTTATTGTAAACATCCTGCTGTAATTTCTACCACAAGAAGCAATTCCCTTTTAAGGCATTTGTGTGATATAAGGGACCTGCTTTGTTCTGGCAGTTACCAGCCAAACTCAAACTCCTGCACTGGTGTCTTAGGACTTGCTTGTGATGTGCTTTTAGGGAATCTTGGTGTGACTCCTGGACCCCCAATCCTTACAGAGCTGTGTCCAAAGACTGGTGGAGCAGCAAACAATTCTGCTGCCTTCACTGGGCTTTAGTGAAATAAACAACAAAGTTGGAAAGTGTAACTATGGCTATTGTGGCTATTGATGCTTCACAGCTCACATCTGCACACTGTTTGAAAACAAGCTGAGCAACCAGACCTTAAATTTTACTAATGAATGCTCATAATTAGCATGGTTATCAAGGAAGACAGGTAGCAGAAAACATTAGGAAGTGGGTAAGGCATCAGGAAAAGAAAATGATTGTTTTAAATGGGCTCCCTGCTTTCTAATTCTACCGGAGAAACCCAAAATCTCTTTTCAGAATGCTATACACCCTCGTGTGGGTTTGTCTCTTTGAGGAAAGGTGTTCATTAACAAATACTAATTAATGTTTCGCAGTATAGAAAGTGCTTGCAGAAAGCAGCCCCTGTGTGATTGTGGCTGCCTGCAGGGCTTGCCCAGGGCTCGCTCGTGGTTTGCAGGAGTTAGTGGGTGCTACTCTAGTAACAGTTAAAAGTGAGTATTAACAGTTCATTCTTGTTTAGACCTCAGCAATGCGTGTTTTGTTTAAATAGGTGCAAATGCCATCCAGATGCTTATAAAAGCCTTTATTGGTAATAACCTGGCCAATCAAAGGACATGGTTAGGCAGTGATGTCATGGTGATATTTAATATTTTACCGCAGAGCGGTGTGCAAGGTTCTCCAAAGCTGCCCACATGTTTTCCACCACGCTTGTCCTGTTTGGGCCCTCTTTGATCTCTAAGCTTCTTTTCAGCTTAATGCTGGTAAACGTCCTCTCTTGACAGCCCCCTTTGCTCCTGTCCGCCATTATCTGCTGAAGTTCAGAAACCAGAGCATCACTTCAAACAGCAGAGTTGGGAGTAGCCGCTCAGGAGAGATTCCTGAGGCATGCAGTTCTGGCATAATCATTCAAAGATGTTGGAGCTGGCCTTGGGGAGGGGGTTGGACAGAGGTGTATGTGAACACAGAGCTGTGGGGGTTGGCCTCTGGTCACTGGTAAATAAGTGAAGGCAGGTGCCAGAGAGTCTAGACACAGTGATTTCAGTGCTGGTCTGTGGTATCTGATACTCAATATGGGACTTGTCTGATTGAACACTACTGCCTCTTCATTGCACATGCTGCAGTCTTTTTACTGCCTTCCTGTTAAATCAGTAAAAGATGACAATGGACATAGTAAAAGCAGAACAAATTTAATTTTAATATTTCCTATTTGGCAGCAATTACTCTTCCTTTTGAAGTGGCACAAGAAGCAATCAAATTAAATGAAGACATAATGGGAAACATGGAACTCGTATGAAACTATTATTTTAAAATTTGAATGGCTTTAATTGAAACTGGATATATTTTTTCTTTTATAGAGAAGTAGTTCAGTAATTAACAGTGTAATCCCATCTTGTTAAACATTTAATTTCCACAGATTTTGTATTGTGTAAGTAATGAGAATGTTTCCCTTCAAATTATTTGAAGGGTTTTAAAAATCTGTTTTTAAAAGTTTTGTAACAGAAGAGTTGCAGGGGGTGATTTTTGAATGCTCGTGTTCTACTTGTTAAATGGCAATTTTCTTCTCTGTTAATTCCCTCTTATGTGACTGTCAGGCTTAAGGATTTAATAAACCAGGGATTTTATAAGTTCTTAAAACAACCTAGAGAAATCTGATTCTACCTTTTTAAGAAAAGGAGGAAGAAATCAATGATAGCTTTTAAATGAGTACCTGAAAGTCTCAGGAAAGACATAAATAGCTGTGTTGTAATGTAGTTTTTATTTCGGGGGTTTTTGGTTCTGTTTGGAATGAGAGCCTGATACCTGATAATAGGTAAACATACAGAATGGCTGGAGTAAAATAATTTGGAGGGAATTCCTATTGCAATCCTATTGTTTCTTTTTATTTTCTCCTGTTTAAATGGATTCTTCGCCTACTTTCTCTAGCTTTTAATGTATTGCAAACTTGTCTTTCCACCAGGGGGCAAGCACACAAATATTTAATGATTAGTTAGTCATGAAATTTAATCATCATTTCTTGCTTTCTTGTCCTCCCATCCCTTTCTGAGCTGCAGTTTTTGTACCTTATGTCCTGCTTATCTTTAGGCTTAGTTGTTTCTTCTTCCAGTAATCTCAGTCTTGTCATCACACTGGCTTGCATTATAATCTAACCATGTCTGATGAACTGAGTGGGTTGTAGAAGCAAACAGGGTGATGTCCCCCAGCCCTAAAGTTGTGCAGGGCTTGTCTGCCAGGATTGGAACCAGAGGGAAAAGAAATGGGTTTATTTCAGTCATGTTCATGTATTCCAAATGCCATTTCAATGTTCCTGTTGAACCAAATGAGCCAGGATAGCCAGCCTGTGATGTAATGGACAGTGCAGGGCCAGGTGTGTGAAATGATGGCAATCCATGGCTTAGGAGCCTTGGCAATCACCTGGGAATTCACTGACATTTGCTGAACAGTTTGAACAGGATTGTAGGTGATTGTCTGCTTACATTAATGTTACATTAATGAATAATAGGATTACTGCTGAGGAGTCTGTGGGATGTGGAAGCTGCAAAGAGAAAGAACAGTGCTGCAGAAGCAGCTAAAATTGCCTATCAATGGAGTAACACACTGCAAAATAGTAGTAAAATTATTTTGCACTTAGTTACCTGTTTAGAGTGATAATTTTATTAAGATAATAGGTATTAATCTGACTTTCTGTTAAATTAAGTTGTGGGGTTGTTTTTTTCCTCTATTAAATTCACCTAAGCTTTCAAAACTTATCCATTCACAAATACTAAAAACCAGTCAAACAAAAATATCAGTGGTAGCAATAAAATGTAACTAAGCCAAGTTAATTTAAAGTGATGAGTGATTGCCATTTTTGGCAGTTTAAAGGATTGTTATCCCTGAATAATGGAACTATACATGTCATGCCCCTGACCTCTGTAACTTTCACTGTTCTTGCAGAAATGCTGAATACTGATTTTTAAAAAAGGTACTGTAGTTGATATCATAACACTGCTTTTCTAATGTTTTTGAAAGATTAATGACCCAAGTGTGCTTGTGTTTCTTGGCAGTTAATGAAGATGCTTTTTGAATGTCCTGATGAGAGAGTTGACCTGGAACTGATTTCTTTCTGTATTAACCTTGCTGCCAACAAAAGAAATGTGCAGCTTATCTGTGAAGGTAACTGGACTGAGGTTTTGCTGGGGGGGTTGGAGATGACAACACTTTGTATATTTTCCTTTTTTATGCTTACATATGTAAATTATGTATGTTTGAGTTATTTATAAATGTATATATGTGTTTTTAAAAAATAAAATGCATGTGTTTGTGTAATGATTGCAGGCAAATGGTCACATCCTTATCATAATTTGCTCTTGGTGGCAGAAAGGACACTTGAGGGAGATGCCCACAGTTCTGAAAAACAGGCTGATGTCATTGCTATGGAAAACTATGGCTGTATGGAGACATCAGCATTTTATTCTGCCTCATGCCTAAAATCCATCTTTGATTGGTGTTTCACCTGCCAGTTTCAAATGAGTAGCAGTGATGTCTGTCAGTTGCATATTTCCTTTTTTTTTTTAAGATAATTGAGCTTCTTTTACGTTCTAATATTTTGATTCATGGTCTAGATAGTTCTGATGTTCTTTCAGTAACTCTGGATTGCTTTTAAAGTTTCATTATTTTCATAATAGCAGTTTTAAATGAAACAATATTACTCAGTAGCTCCAACTTTCACTTGTGCTCAACATTTTCCCAAAAACTGCTGCAGTCACTTACTGGCCTTCAAAGGGGACAATTGCAATCAGGAGGTTCTGTGGCATGAAATTCCACTTTTAAATTCTGTGCATAGCTCTCTAGAAGGGGGAGCAGGGAGATCTAATTTTTTATTAAAGGTAAAACTCAAGCTAGCAGCACCTTTTAGGTAGGAAAGAGTAAACATAATGGTAACACTGGCGTTTGTTCTATGGGGTCAGCTACTTCAGATCTGTTCCCATGCATTGATCTTTGGCAAATAAACTTTTAAAACCCTAACAACAAATTTATTCCATGGAATGGGGAGAGAAATCTCTGTGCCTGGACTAACTGCTGTGCACTTTTTCTTTCTAAACTTTTACAGCTTAAAGCATTTGTTTGTGTGCATGTTGATTTTGATCAGTCAGTTCTTGCCTTTTTTTTCTAAGTGTTTGTTTCTTTTCAGGAAATGGTTTGAAAATGCTCATGAAGAGGGCTTTGAAATTTAAGGATCCATTGTTAATGAAGATGATCAGAAATATTTCACAGCATGATGGGCCAACTAAAAGCCAGTTTATTGTAAGTATTAGGTCTTACCTGATGTGATCTCTGGTTTTTATCCTTCTGAAAAGTCTGGCTCTGGAGAGCTGCTGTGGTTTGTTTTGTAGGGTGTCCAGTTTGTTTCCTTGTCTGTCCTGGGGTGATTTATGTTTTGTTTTATAAGGCTATCTCAGCTGCTAGATCAGAGTTTGGATCCCCCACTAAGGGGAAAACAGGCCTTAAGCCTTATCCAGTAAGTTTCAAAACAAACACACAAACCCAAGCAAACAAACAAAAATGCCCCAGCTGCTGGGGTGAACATCGTAACAATTAAGTTATCCTAAATTTCTGCTTTTGGACCTAGAGATAAAAATCTGGTGCTTTTTTTTCCCCACTGTGCTAAGTGTGTTTTATTTGTGGGTATTTAAAATATTTAATATTTAAATATTGATCCTGTAAAGCCACCTTTTCAAAAGAAAGGAGGAAAACACAGCATGAAGGTTTTAAACATACTCTTAAATGTGGATTGAATATCAAATTGTCTTAAAGCAGTATAAAATAAGTAGAAGCCATTATTCCCCTTTTCATTTCCTCAGAAAATCTTACAGTTATTTATTAAAATCTTTAGGTAAAGAACTCCATTACTACCAGTAATGCAGGATGGTTTTCTCTATCTTCTTTTCCTTTTTTTGCTAAGAGCTTTTTGAAACTGTGCTGTAGTAACTACTTTTGGAACATTGAAACAAAGATCCACATTCCTTGAAAGTGAAAGGATGTAGGGGAAGAGTGCTGAAATGTTTTCTTGGATTATTCATCAACTGGAATTGAAACTGCCTTATTAATCCTTATTTCAGGAGCAAAGTTTCTTTAGTTTTCTTTTGAGAACTAGCTTTAGTTTGGCTGAGATGCGAGTTCTTCAGAAACCCAAATTATCCATTTGTAATGCTTGCTGCTGTATTTTCTTCAGGAATATGTTGGTGATTTAGCAGCTCAAATATCCAATTCAGAAGAAGAAGAATTTGTGATTGAATGCCTGGGAACACTTGCAAATTTGACCTTACCAGAGCTGGACTGGGAACTTGTGCTGAAGGAATACAAACTGGTTCCATATCTCAAGGATAAGTTAAAACCAGGTCTGTACAAAATTGGGTTTGGCTTCCAAAGCAGATTTTCTGTAAGATTATTTAGAGTGCTCAGAGCAGAGTCCATTTACCTTTACAATTTGTGGTTGTTTAGGACAACATAACACTGAAGAATAGAATCGTGTGTGCAGATAGATACACAACTGCCAGTAGATGAAGAATTCCTGAGAGAGGTGATAGTTCCTATTTCTGCCTTGTGCCTTAGCAGGTTCTGCTGAGGATGACCTTGTGTTGGAAGTGGTGATCATGATTGGGACTGTGTCCATGGATGACTCCTGTGCTGCTCTGCTGGCCAAATCTGGGATCATCCCTGCCCTCATCGAGCTGCTGAATGGTAAACTGGCCATGTGTGACTGCAGGAGCTGTGATTGGCATTGCTGTTCCCTTGCAAGGCAGGGCTTGGGCTTTGTGTGAGGAAGGAGCAGCAGTTACTCTGTTAGTGACAGATTCTGAGTGCTGGTTCCATAGATTTGGCTTTTCCCACACCTTCACAACTCAATCAAAAGCTTCTATTTGTGAGATTTGAAATTGTGCTGGATTTTTCCTCTCCTTGCAGCTCAGCAGGAAGATGATGAATTTGTCTGCCAGATCATCTATGTGTTTTATCAGATGGTGTTCCACCAAGCCACCAGAGATGTCATCATCAAGGAAACACGTATCTTTTTACTGATTAAACATTTGGAGTTGCAGCACTTAATTTGCCATTGCTGGTGCTTGACTTCTGTTTCTCTTGCAGTAACCTCATGATCTCAGAGGTTTCTTTGTAAATGTTTATTTCAGCTGAAGAAAAAACCCAAGCAACCTAAGCATGTAAAGGGACTGTAAGATTAATAGTAAGGATTAAAACTTAGTTTGCTTTGAAGCAGGGAGGGGAGTAGGAGGGGATCCCTAGACCAGCTGACTCATTAGTTGCTATCCAATCTGATTTACTGTCTATATTTGTTTTGCAAATCATAATGAAATTCACAGTTCATAGAAGAACATATGTAGAGCATAAGCAAACTTTTTGTATTGTACAATTATACAAATATGTTGCATGGTCTTAAATTTTGTGGGTCTTAACTGAATGTTGAATTTTATTGAAGCATTCAGAGTGAGCTGAATGAGCCCTGGGAGGGATAGCAAATTAGTGATTACATTGCTAGCAATACAAAGAACACTTCTTCATGTTCTTTTTGCCTTTAATCTCTGTGGAATATCTGAGAAGCCATTTTGGTGGTTGTTCTTTGTGTCCTGTGTGCACTCCTAGGTTGCTACTTTAAAAAATTAAAGATAAGAACTTGCATCTCTTGCTAATTCTGGAACGATAAAGCAGCAACATTTAAAATGGCTTTCTTGCTATATGAGATGAAAAATTCCTGCAAATTAGTGAAATTTGAAGAACCCAGAGTTGTGAGGGAGGGAAAAAAAAATTTCTCCTTAACAGTTGCTGTGCAGAAGCTCCAGCATACCTCATAGACCTGATGCACGACAAAAACGCTGAGATCCGCAAGGTCTGTGACAACACTCTGGATATCATAGCGGTAGGTCTGCCTTCCTTCATCCTCCCAGAGCCTCTTTGCACTAGAGAATTCCAAAAGAACTAAATATATTCCAAAAGAAATATATTGCAAATTGAAAGTATTTTTCTTGTGCAGCTTTTTAATCATATGGATAAAAGATGAATTTTCAAGGCACAATAATAATCGTTAGGCTGTGCATCAAGGAGTGTGTGTGTACTTTGAAAATTCATACAGGTTAACTTTACACTTTCTAAAATTGCTTTTATAAATTAATCACATTACATAAGCATGCCAAGCTTTCATTATTTCTTAGTTCTCCAAACAAATGGCTCTTGTTACCCAGCAGCTTTATTCAGCTTCTCTGCATTGCCTGGTGCCAATATTTGTTTCAAAAAGAAAATGTGGCAGCAATCCTGATGCTAGCTGTTCCCTGCTGAGGGAGCAGACACTCTAATATTGTGTTCACCTTTTGGATAGGCTTCCTTTAGCTACATAACTTAGTTTGTTCAGCTATCCATGGATCACAGTCAACTTTTGGGATTGGAAAAATTGGAATTTAAAAAAAAAATTGGAAAAAAGAAAGAATACTGAATTATCAAGTGATGTTGAGGATTGTAGTGACTCTACATCCTTTTGAGTATAGAGTAGCTGTCATGAAATTAAATTTTATAGTCAAAAACAATTTAACAGCAGTACCTATGGCTTTTTCAGTCATCTATATTGTTCCTTTTTCAGTTTAATTACATGTATTGCAGCTTGTTCTCTGAAAAGTTCAGTATAGTTTAAGCCTAACTTACACTGCAAATACTACATGTAGTCTAGTTTGGCTTCTTCTGTTATACTCATTAATAATGTCTTCTAATTTAACAGTGAAATAACATTTTCTGAACTGGAATGCTTTTTAGGTGGCTCTGTCTTTTCTTCATGGAGGTATGGAATGAAAATTTGCTCCAGAGGCAGAGTTGCTGTTGATATTCATTAAGGACTAGATTTAAACTCAGATGAATTTGCACTTAGTACTTATTTATGATGGGCATCATGTTCAGTTTAACACAATCAGCTGTTTCTAGGAACATCTCCAATGGGAACAGTGGAAGGACTTTTTTCATTTTCTGGGTGAGGCTGCACAATCTTGAGTGCATCCAACACTTGTTTTACCTTGAGGCCAGTGCAGTTTCCTAGTGACTCACATGTTGATTTGTTCCTATGGGGAAGCTTTACAGTGAGGTGTGTTGTAATATTATTAAGCAAAATTTATAGAAACTAGAAGAATAAACATATAAAAATACAGTTTTATATCCAATATTACCATCTGAATAAAATGTACTTGGCTTTTTTTTCCCTTCCTAAGAACATGAAATCTTTATGCTCACCATGAGTCAGTGAGGAGTGCTAAGATAATGGTCAGAAAAGGTTTCTCAACTTGCAAAAAGCACTGGACAGGGTTTTCAGGAAGGAAACTCCTTCCTTCTTTCTTGAGGAAGAATAAAGGGAAGAAGTGATGTGGCACTCTGGTTATTGGGGGTGGAGGAGGAGACACCAAACACACACTGAGAGCTGCTTGCATGGTGCTAAATTATATTTTTCATTGCTTGTGAGCAATGCCACACTTAGAGTGGTGCTAGCTGGTGAGTTAGGAGAATTCCTTTTCCAAGAAGGTTTTCTGGCTTTATTATCTGGGTATTGGGGCTATAAGCTGCATAAACACCATGCCCCTGAGGGGAACAGGAAGCATAATGTGCTCTCTTTTCTGGAAGAGAAAAAGAACCACTAATTATTTGATTGCTTTCTCAGTCATGTTGGAATCTGCTTGCACTTGTATCTCTCAGTACCAAAAATCACAAGCAAAAAAGGCAATGTATTGTAAATAGTGATGATAGGAATTATAAGAGAGAAGGTTATCAGAAGCTCAGATCTGGGTAGGTGTTAAAGGAATGTTACAGCAGGCTGTAAACACAGAGGTGTTTGGTTGGGGGGCACTTTTACACCAGCAGTGCCTGCTGAGGTGTCTGAACAGTCTCCAGGAGTGGTGGAACTTCTTATCTGTGCTAAATCCACAACAAGCAAACCTTCACTTCTCAGTCTTGTTGCACTCATGCTGGCAGGAATGGGTCCTCTGATGGAAATCAGAAAATAAGTGTTGGGGAGTAGATTTGAAAATAATTTCTACTCAGAGAGACAAATGCTTCTTTCACTCATCAATGAGCTGTATATACTGTGATTGAAATAGCACTGGAGAAAATCACATGGCTTATAAGCCTTAGGGGAGAAATGCTTTCTGTAGTAAAGTAATTGTCCCAGAAATTATGGAAATGTTACACTAGTGATGATTTGTTTAATATAGCTTGGCTGGACTCTGCCACTGATGAACTGAAACAGATGTGCTGCTTTAGCACAGAATATACTGGGCAGTGTCAGCTTTGCACTGGGAGAAGCAAGAGATCCCTTTTGTCAGAAAAAGTCTGAGTTGATGATTTAGGAGTGCTTCAGTCTCAGTCATGTGCTGAGCTTTGGCAGCAAGCAGCCAGTTCAGTGTTCTTGTACCCCTAAAGTGGGGCAGCTCTCAGGGCTTAGCTGAAAGCCTGGAATCAGCAGCTGCTATAGGAGTCTCAAGCAAATTAATTTCCAATTTCCCCTGCTTCAGAAGCCTGGAGAACTGCAACTCCAAGCTTGTGGAAAGAGATGTCAGCTTACCTGAGATGGTTTTATTCTGTTCACTTTAGGCAACATTATCAAGAGCCAAGGGAGCCACTAATCTCTCAGGTTTCTTATTATTTTTCTGCTCCTAGCTGAGTTTTATTGCAGTCAAACTATTTTCCTCATTTATTCAAAGGATATTTAATTAACCATCATCAGCTCCTAGGACTCTGTATTCTGACCCTCTCCCTTTCCCCTGATTTTCCTCTTCAGTGCCTTTGCAGCTTTGAATCCAGACCTGCTGTACCATCTTGTTTTTCTTATGATCAAGAGTGGACCACAACACTTCCTGCAGCAGTAAAACATCTTTCAGATAGTTACAGCATTGTCCATGGGATTTAGGAAGGTCCTCATGCCTAGGGTGATTTTCCAGCTCTCATTTTTTGCCCTTGTAATAAATGGCAAATAATGTTTGCCTCGTATGAAATTCGTTGCTAATGAACAGCTTGCCTCTTTGTGAGTTAGCTAAGCTCCCTGATAGAAATCCCCCATGTTGGGAATGCTGGAATTTCACCTAAAGAAGCAGGAATGTGCTGTGAACCCTCTGTGCTCTGGGATTTGGGGCCAGCTGTATGAGATGTTGGCCAGCTCTCTTAGAGTCAAGGAGGAGCAGAGCACAGGGATTTGGTGTGGGCTTTATTTGAATAGGCAGCATGCTCTGAAAATAGATAACCTTTGACACCAGCTTGGTGTCCTCTTTCCATGAAGAGTGCTGTAGTCACTCCAGGAAAAAAGGCTCTCCCTTCACTTGACAGGACCCCTTTCTGTGGTGCATCTTGTTACCCTGTAGTAAACATGAAAACAGAGGGGTGTGAGGGGCTGGGGCTGCAGCTGAGCTGCTGAAGTTTCCTCTGCTCATTGTTCAGTTTGCCAGCAGCCTGTTTTGGTGTTGGTTGTTTTTTGTGGCTCTGCCTGCAGCAGAGTAACCACAGGCAGCTTTAGATAGGGCAGGAGTGTTCTGATTGTTTTTGTCTTCACATAAAACCTGCCTTGGACAGATTCCTTTTCAGCACTGCTCTCTGGCTTTGTGGGACTGGGAAGGTGAGCCAAACCCCTGATGTGTTACTTGCAAAGCAGTTTGCCAGTGAGATATCTTACATTCCTCCAAAAGGGAGAGAAAAAAAGTTTCTCCAGTCTGCTACTTCCAATATAGGAACTTTGAGAGCGCCCTACATTTTATGGAGCCACCTAAATTTAGAAAGCATCAATGGTTACTCTTTTTTCTTTGCCTTGCCATTATTTTCATCTATCAGATTTCTGTGAGCTTACTGTCAGAATAAGTTTATTGAGTTTATTGTAACGAAGCTGATTGTGAAGCAGTGACTCCAGGTTGCACAGGTGTAAAGGGTGGAAGGATTTTTTTTTTCCTGCCCTGTGAAGCAATTGCCCTGCAGTGGTATTTATCCTAAGGTAGGTGTGGTAGACACCTGCAGAAGGTGATCCCTGACATCTGGTTCTCTCCTTGGTTTATGGAGGAGCTAAAATCACATGCCTAACTTTTGGATAGCTAGACAAGATAAATCTTTCTTAATAAATGGTTAATTGAATCTTTTATGTAAACAGTAGGTTTTTAATGAAGAGTGTAACAAATCATTTAAGTAGAGCCTTGAACATAATGAGGCTTCTACTTATTGTACAGCAGTTTTGGTTCAGTATGAGGAATCACATCAAATGAACCCTATCACAGAGCCAATTAAAGGGCAACCACATTAAAGTGCAAAGGAAAATCTGTTTTTCATCAGCTGTGAGGGAACACAAAGCAGATCTGTGTAGCTCTGTGTTATCCTATAGTGTGTTAATCAGATACAAGGTGTGACGGAAGCCAGTGACAAAGGGGACCCTGATAGGGAACAGACACGCTCTGATAATGGGCCAGTTAACGCTTCATAATGTTTCAATGCTTCAGTAGTAAACAAAGCTGCAAGGAGAACTTCAAAAAGGATGGCACATTCCTCCCAGAGTCAGGCCATACATCTTCTATGACACTTCTGGATTTATGGAAACCGAATGTTAAAAGCAGTGATGTCAGGGAGCTCCAAAGAGAATAAAATCAGCTTTGAGAATTCCTCCTTTTAAGTTTCTGACCATGACTGGGGTGTTTGAAGGGGGTGGTGCTGGAAAATAGGCACATTCTGTTCACCTTCTCATCTCCCTTGCTGTGCTTTTCCAGTAGCCTGACATTTAAAAGCACTGGAGGGCTCAAAGCTATAGCTGGATCTCCATAATTTTTAGTTTTCTGGTTTCATGTTTGCACAAATTCCCTTGTAAAGGAGGAGTGCTTCATGTGTTTAAAAACCAAAACCCAACCAAAACAAAATAATAACCCTCCCCTACAAAATAATAATAAAAAAAATTTTAATAGCTGAAAATATAATTACTGGAAGACTTGCAGTGTTTTAGGAAATTGTTTTGCTCTAAATGTCTTTAATTTGGTTTCTTTGTGCCTTTTGGCTGTAGTCCTGCATTTACAGCTTTTCTTCCATTCTGATGTTATTCCATTAATCATTTACCCAGTGGTGGTTCTGCATATTTCCATAGAAAATCTACAGATAAATCCCTGATCTAGCACTACTGAAGTGAACTTCTTTAGTGCTGAGGTTCTGTAAATCATTCTAGATTATTGCAAATCTTCCTTTTCTGTGATTGCATCCAGAATGAAACTCCTGACAAAACTGATCATTGATCTAATTCTGGGGCAGTCACTTCTTTGCAACATTTGTACCTTGCTGTTTTCACTGAGGATGAACAAGAACAAAATTGTCAAAGTACTTGAATGGATAAATTGTGGTTTTTAAGTAATTGCTGTTCAATTGCTAATACTTTTCCAAAGTAATACGTTTCCAAAATAATTGCTAATAATTTTCCAAAATTTAGATGAATGATAGAGGAAAAATATCTGGGAGTCTTAAACCTCTTAATATAGGATGGGAAATGTAGAATATATAGGAATATTCTGCCCTGCTGTCATCAGGTGAAGGAAAAATCAGAATCTGAGAAATGTAAAATGATTTTTGCCAAAGGATATAAGAAGTTGATGTCCATTTCTGACAGACATTCAGCATGTTCAGACAGTGGTGTGTGTGGTACTCTCATGTCAGGAAGTAGGATACATTTAGGGTTGTAACTTTGGGAATATTCAAGTTTTTTCCAAGTGCATTGATGGTAAATGTGAATGAGGTGATTTAGCTTATGGCCTTTTGGCTTTTGAGAACTTTGAAAAGTAAACAGGATAATGTAAAAGGGATTCAGCTTTCACAGAGGTTAATCTAATTTGCTGTTTGTTAAATTTGTTTATTTTCCTCCTTTTCTTTGCAATCATGACTTCTGGGAATAGCGTTCTTGAGAGTGCACTATGATTTCTGGCAGTTACAAGATGTTTCTCAAAATTTTGTAAGTAATTCCCAACTGCTGGAGGGTGACAAAACAGCCAGCCCAGGGGTTAGCTCTGGCAGATGCAGCAAAGGAGCTGTTTCCAAGGTGCTGGTCAGATGTCACCATTGAAAGTCATGCCTTGTCCTTTTTTTATGGGTCATTTTATAAATCTCAGTGATGAGCTTGCTTTTTCCAAGTTTTTACTGTTACTTCTAGTTTTTCTTTATAATCAAGAGTGGAAATGAGGGGGAAAAAAATCAAGAAATAGCCTGAGGTGTTCTTTTCCAAACAGTATGAGGTGTAAGTGTGTGTTTGTTGGGTTTTGAGCTTGTCTTTTCTCCCTCCCTAAGGCTGCAGTAATGCTGACAGACACAAAGTGGAATTTTGCTTCCCTAGGCACTGAGAATATCTATGGATCCCACAGGTGGTACCTGCTCTGGGTGTGGAAGCTGTGCAGGACACCAGGTGTAGGACAGGATCACTAAACAGGAGTGTCAGATGGTGAGGAGTGGAATTAGCAAGGTGTAGAAATCAGTATTGATCATAGGTGGAATTGGAGAAATTGAGAATAATGAAATCTTGGATGTTCTAGATACCTGTTGGCAATGTCAGAGAAGCCTTTGCCAGACTGGCAGGGCCAGCTGGTTTTTGTCTTATTACACAAAAAAGGCACAGGGCAGAGAGAGTTCCCTGTGGAACACATAGACAGCAATGAAGACAAGGCTGGTTGAGTATTAAGTCAGTTAAAAACCTGTAGTTCAGATTGTGGAGCTTTCAGAAGTTTAACCTGAGCTCCTACAGCTGATTCTGCCTTCTCTGCCAATTTTTGTCCTCTGGTTGTAGACATATTTATTTTGGCATGTGAGAAATTCCCATTCCACAACCAAGGCATTGTCACTAATTGTGTGACATCTTCAGGGCTAAGTGAAACAGATTTTTAAAGCCTTAAACTTCTCTGAGGAAAGTCTGTCTAGATCATGAGAGTTCAGAAATTATTTTCAACTTTTCTCTCCTTTGTAGTTAGGTCAGAAGTGGAGTGGGATGTGTTCCATTAGGATATTTCTTCCCACAAGAAGAAACATTCTGGCTAGGGATATTATTCTTGCTCACAATACTTTGGTTTAAAAAAGCACAAATTGTGGTGCATTACTTGTGACTGTTCCCAAATTGATGCTATCTGCAGATTTCATTTGTTGATGAGCTTCCTAGAGATAGCTGGGCCTTATCATTCCAGCAGGATTGAGGAGCTGAGTGTTACCCATGGGAAATCACCAGCCCTAAATCTGCTCTGTTCAGAAGATCCCTCTCAGAACAGCTGATTGCAGTGACCATAGGCTATCTCACTTCATGCTGATGCTCCTTTACATGAATATCACATCATTGAGTGCAATTAGGCTGTAATCCAGATTGAAATGTCATGCCTGCATGTTTTTCCATAGTGACTGGAACCTATATCCTGTTTTACTCAGCTTTCTGGAGAAGTTCCCCTCAGAGTTTACTTGCCTACCATTTTTTTGGTTGTTAGACATTATACATAAAATTTGACATGAAGTTGAAAATAAATTCTTGCTGGAGCTCGTGAAAGGAAAGAAATTTATTGGTTTTATCACAGCTTGTTTTCTTAATAGAGGTTTTTAGTAACTAGTTGTCCTACGAAGTGCTCATCTAATGAAGATGTGCAGGGGTTTTGGCCAGTGTTAATAATTAATTACTAAAAATCCCCTAAGATTGGCAGTAACTGGGTCATAATTAAACCAAATGAAGAGACTGCTGATGGAACGGTTTTGTTCAAAGCAGGAGTTTTTTCTGGATGAAGTTCCAAACCATGAAGGGAAGATTGTACTGCTGTAGCACAAATCCAAATAATGCCCAATGCTTGCAAAATCCCTTTTGGTCAAAGAACATGCAGCTGAGCAGAGCATTGAAGTCACTGGGCCCTGAGCTGGCATTTTTGCTGATGTTGGCTTCCCCTGATGTCACTGTAGGACACAAAACAACACAAGCACACACACTGCTGCTCTCAAGGTGAAGAAAAAGGGAAGTTTATAAATGTTGGAGTCAGATAGTAGTTTTCTAAAAGTGACAGTGGATTGGAGGGTGAAAGTGCCACATCTCTCCAGTGACACTGGACAAACCAACAATCCATCAAATTTTTCCTCCTCCATAAAAGAAGGAAAGTGCGTGAGAAAGTTCATTGCAAGAATGTCAACATCAGAAGGCTTAGAAAAGAATCTTAAAAAATCAGGGTGACACCCTGCCATTTCCTGTTACACCAGCTTTGTCTACAGCTGATCCTAAAACAGTGTGTGGTGATTTTTACCAGGAATATGATGAGGAATGGGCTAAAAAAATCCAGACGGAGAAGTTCCGATGGCACAACTCGCAGTGGCTGGAGATGGTGGAGAGCCGGCAGATGGACGACAGCGAGCAGTACCTGTATGGGGATGACCCCATCGAGCCCTACATCCATGAGGGGGACATTCTGGAGAGACCTGACCTCTTCTACAATGCAGGTAAAGCAGCACTGTCAGTGTTCAACACTGGGATTGTCACCTCTGCATTTGCAGTGGGAGCTTGAGCTGGGCCTGACTCAGCCACGGTTGGGTTTGTCCTTGTTGGGGTTGATGCCATGGAATGCCTACCTAGAACAAGATTAAGACAATAAAAGTGGGTGTTTAGCTATTTGAAGACCTTCAATATACCTTGGGCATCTGTTTCTCTCCTTGGTTTATAGAGGCACAGAGTTAAAATCACATGCCTAACTTTTGAATAGCTAGACAAGATCAATTTTTTTCTTTCTTAATAAATGGTTAATTGAATCTCTTATGTAAACAGTAGGTTTTTAATGAAGAATGTAACAAATCACTATGTAGAGCCTTGAACATAATGAGCTTTGTACTTTTTGTACAGCAGTTTTGGTTCAGTATGAGGAATCACATCAAATGAACCCTATTACAGCCCAAATTAAAGGGCAACCACATTAAAGTGCAAAGGAAAATCTGTTTATCATTCCTCCTTGGGCAGCCAGAAGCCTCCAAAGAGCTACACCCAGGATGGACAATGGTCACAAGTTTCTCAGACAATTATAAGTTTGTTCATTCACATATCAGGGGTTAATCCTCCAATTACAGCTTCAGGTTGTGAAGTTATACTCCCTCAGTTTGCTCCTCCCCATTTCACTTTTTGTTTATACTTTTCAGGGCCTGAAGCTGCAGGGTGTCCTTGAGTTTCAGGCCCAGAGGGATTGTTTTGTCTGACCAAAATGTGAAGACAGCATCTGAGAGTCTATGTAGAATTTAGAGTTATACACTAAATCAGTACAGGATCTGAAAAATCTAAAATCTAAAATCCTAAGGCATCAGGGTGTTAGTGATGGATTAAGTGCTGCATATCCATGATTTTAGAAAATGTTACAGGTTTGCAGGAATATGTGTAAACCTGTCTCAGATAGCTGATGGACCATGACAGTGGAGTCAAGTAAAGATGGCCCAGCCTTGTTCTTCCCACCTGTTTCTTGTGTCCATAGTTTGTTTGCTCTGTAAACAAAACCCTCTCATCCCTGTTAAATTCACAGCTGTGGGATTTATGCTGAATTTTGTTCTGCCTGTTGTGTTAGTTGTGCAATGGGATTTTTATTGCAGATATTGATGAAAGACTTCATTTGATTCTCAGCAAACTTGTTGATTCCTTAGCAGAGGCCATCATTTCACAACTTTAATCTATCTGTATGATTTTTTTGCTGTTGTATATCTAGGATTTATGGAAGTGTGTAGATCTCTTGTGTAAATGCTGATTTATCTAATCCAGTGTTGCCAGCTGTTCAGGATGAGGGTACAATAAAACTTTGCAGCAGACAATAATGAAATAATTTGGCCCAATGGATAAATGTCTTCATAACTTTGTAACTAGGAGTTGGCTTACCCTCTCCAACTTGTGGGTTTAGATCCTTTTCAAACTCCTGGATAACTGAGTACATGAATTTTTTGCCTTTTTTTTTTAATTGCTGGGTTTGAGTCTGTGTTTTTCATTTTCCACAGAAGTGTCCAGTCCTCTGCCACGAAGCATGAGTCACAAAACTCTGAATCAATTTGCAGGAAGAGTAATTAGAAAAACAAAACCACTAAACCCCATTGTCTTCACTCATAGCTGCTGCAAGAAAATAATTGTGCAAGATCTCAGTAGCATTTCAAATACTGTTCTCAAAGGATATCAGAACACAAAGCTTCTTTTTCTTCTGCCATCGCTACTTGCCTCTTAGTGTGATAGTTTTTCCCTTTTGGATTTTTTGTGCTGGAATTGATACTTGACTGGAAAGGAAGGGTAGAATTCTGGTGATATGTTCTGCAGATGTTTGAAATGTGTTTTTGGTTTTAAAGGTAGCCCTTTTTAAAGAGTGGTTATATTCAAAAGGTAGGTTCACTTCTCAGGTTCATTGCAGCAAATGCCAGTAATTGTGTGCTTCTGCAATTTCCTAGACTTCAGCTTTTGAAATGTGGCATCTCAAAAGGAACATAATACTCCTTTGAAAGTTAAGGTTAAGGTACCAATTGGAGCAGATTTGGGTTCTGAAGGACAGATCATTACTTAGTGAAAAAAACCAAACCCAAACCCACCAAAAGTACAAATCTTTGTGCAGCCAGAAATGAAATACTTGTATTTCAGTTTGATAATTTTAGAAGTGATCTACACTGATGGCTGACAGCACAAGTCCCACCTTGACCATAATCATTTTTGAGCTTGCTGATGGCAAGATGAGTTCCTTAATTCATGACAGACCAATCTCTCTCTTGCACAGGAATTTAAATCTACATGAAAAATGTGGTAGAATCTCTGAAGTTACCTTCCTGAGCTCAGTGCCTCTCTTGCTCTGAAAGTACATAACCTAATTTATGTTGAAATGTACATAACAACAGATGTCCTTTAACTGTGTAATCACATTTTCTGCAGCTGATGCTCTCCGTGTGCTTTCATTTTCCTGTAAATTCATGTGAGCCATAACTCTGAGTGTTATGGTTTGACTGTTAACACTCTTGATTGAAGACACTTTAAGTAGTGGTAGCAGTAGCCTCGGAGTTAAAATGTAGCGCTTGCTTTATTAATTCAGAGACATATGTTATATTTCAGTTTCTCTTAACCTAGCCTGGCTATTTAAAATGCATAATCACTTACATGGATTGCTTTTGATCTGAAGTGCTGCAGGTATTAAAGTGATCATGGTCCTCCTCATTTCAGTTCAGTGGAGCATACAGACTAGGAGGTGAGCTAGAAAAATTAGGCACAAGCCTTAATAAAGGCTATTTCAACTTTCCTTTCACTTCTTTGGACATTTTCTGTTTGTGTGATGTCACAGGGCACCCCTGTCCTGCTGAACATGCTGAGAGACAGGAATATTGATCCCTGCCAGAACTCCTGCTTGTCAAGTCATACTCCTTCACATACTGTACACACATGTCTGCAATTAGAACATGGCCATGTACAGCAATCTGATGCTGCTAAAATGTGGTCTGATCATGGCTGGCATTTTTCATTTGCAATCTGCTGCCTTGCATTCAGTCACTTTCCCATGAGGTATTATCTTCTAAATGAATCTCTGTAGCACCTCATCAAATGTCTGTTAGAAATCTAGATGTGTCAATTCTATTCCTTTTATCACTTGTCACTATATTATCTTCAAAAAACATCAGGTAAATTCATAAAGCACGGGGAGATTTGTTTGAATGCCAGAGTCATCATCTCTAAGCCCTTGTGTCTGTAAGTAACTTTCCACTGCTTCCTGTGCAGGCAGTTTTAGTAGTTTGGAAACCACAGAGGTTAAGCTAAGTGGCCTGTGACTCCCTGGATCTTATCTCTCTTTCTTTAGAGTGGAATGGCATTTGTAACTTCCTAGTCATTAGGAATCTCTGTGTTCCCTCTCTTAAACTCTTAATGTATCAGTCTGGGTGTACCTGTTTCTGCCCTGGTTTTATGGGGATGCTTTCTGCACTTCAGGTCTGGAATGGTTTTCATACAGTGCTGGAGACAAACTGATGTAGGGGCTGTTTAAATGAAAGAGCTTGTTTTATCTGATTAGAGCCTAATACTAATTACCAAGTAAGAACTGTGCCCTTAATATTAAAGAGAAATGTGTTTTGTGAATGGGAGCAGCAAAGAGTTAAGCTGGGCTCTCATTCAGCTGGGGTCACTTCAGTGACTTTACTTCAAAGACACTCTCTGGGTTTACACTGATGGAACAGAAGGAAGATGTTAGCTCCTGATTTTCTTTTCCTCATAAAGCAGGCAGAGACTGTGAAGCCTTTAAGGAATTACTTCTGGCTTTACAAATGTCTGCATCTTCACATGCCAGTGTTGTAATGTAAAGGGAGCACGGAAAACCTGTAACCTGTATTTTTGAGAGGATATCACAGGAGAGGCCTGCCCTTGTTGGAAAGAGCTCTGAGATACTAAAAGATGGGCAAGATAAAGAAGTTTGAAGTCACTTTCTTGTTTTTCTCCACAAGTTTGAAGAGATACAGTGGTGCAGTATAGAGTCTGAACAATTAAGATCTTTGCTACTTTTTTATTTTTATGCTGCTGGCCCACATTAATGTTTTACCTTTCTCATTACTTGTTTTCTGTGCTTACTTTGATGGGTGAGACAAGATTTGTCTTGAAAAAACTTTTATAGTCTTAAGGAAGAAGGGCTAAGAGAATATTTCTTAGGTACAGCATTTTTCAGGGCAGTGGGCTGAAGCTCCTTGGAGTCCCAGTAAGGACTTCTTTGTACTTGCAGTTGTTGGGTTTCAGTATTATTGTTGATTTTTGTTCCTCACAGAAATATTGTAACTTAAATTCCTTTTGAATTGCTAAAAGAAACCAGGACAGGTGGTTTTGGCCACTTTCCCTCAATCCTGCTCTTGACAAGTGGCTGTGTTTTGTTTTCTAGATGGGCTGATAGTCCCTGATGGAGCAGTGAGTCCTGATATCTTTGGGGATTACCAGCTGCAGAATGGAGACCTGGTTGGGCAGCACCCCTTCTCTGCCAAGTAAGTAGCTCCTACTGAAGAATTCTTATCATCCAACAAGTTTCTTTTAGGGCTTCATTTGTAGTGCTCAGTAATTTTTGCCCCCATAGCAGTAGGAATGATTTACACTGCACAAGCAGTTCTAGTCTGTTGTCTGAATGACATGTCTGTTTTAACATCCTAACATGTTGTAATACATCACAGCTTCCAAAACCTGTGGAATAGAATAATAACACAGAATACACCACCTGTTATGACAACTACTCAAATACTCCTCAGAGTATTTGGGAAACATCTAGAGAGAGGCTTGAGATGCTGATCATCCAGATGATATTTGTTTCCAATATTCCTAAATTTAAAAGAAGTCTTTCAGCTGCTGTGGGTTTGATGGTTTTTGGTGTTTTTCCATTAACCTAAGTCTTCCCAAGGTATTCTCAGCTAGATTCCTGAAAATGGGGAACAGGGGCAAAAGGCATCAGCTTTTGCTGATATTCTTGGAGATCTTTCTCAGAATTTCCCCTCTGCTCAAAGACCTCTCCCTCTCAAAGTTGGCAAGCTGTTCCAGTTTGAATTTCTGAATAAACTTCTCCCATGAGTTCAAAATAAAAAACACTCATTTCCAAGAATGGAATCTTCATAAATCCTGATGCTGTAGAGTTTAGGAAGTGCCTTTTATAAAAACATTAATTCTGTGCACTCATGAGCAGGAAATAGTTCAAACACTTGATAGTCAAGGTACAGCATTCACTTCAACAGGATCCAGCTATGTGGATATGCCCTGCCCTGGGGCTGAAGCTGTTTCTTTCCAGAGAAAGAATGTTCTTTTCACCACTAACACCTTATATTTGTAAAATGTAAGTCATTCACAGTGTGTACAGATGAAGCAAAAAAGATTTTCCTCCCTTACTTTGGCTTCTTGTAATTAATCAAGGGTGGTGAACAGTTACTTTGGTTGGTTTATTCTACCTGTGATGCCCCAGAAAGCTGAACACTGAGTAAGGGTTGGAGTGGTGGTAACAATACAGAGACAAATTAAAATAACTAACATGCTCAGGGAACAAAAAAAGCAGGATTTGAGATGGATCTTCTGAAAAAAGTAAATATTTATACTCAGTAAGCATCAAATTCAGAGTAGTGTGAGGCTGTGTTTGGGAAGGGGGATGCTGGTGCCTGTGCTGATCATTTCCAAATGTTCAACCTTTATTGCAGAGCTTGCAGGTGGGAGAGAAACTGAGGTAAGTGTGAGCTCTGTGCTGCTCTTGGGGTCTCAGTGGGTCACTCACCATTTTTACCTTCACAGTAGACACACAACCACGAGGTGATGGATTTCTCTGCTCACCAGAACATTGGAGGCTGCTCCCTGCAGGTTTTGGGGAAAGGTGTGTAGGGTAGAGCTTGTAGACTCCTAGAGAAGTTTTCTTAGTTAATTTAGAGAAAGTCCCAGTCAAGATACTCTGAAAACAGAGTTTTCAGCTGGGAAACAAAACCATCTTCAATATCCTTGGTTAAAAGTGAAGGCACATCAGTCAGCCTCAAATTGCAGACCCTCATCAGGGAGCTCCAATAGTAATCTTCTTTTTAATCTGATTGTATTCCAGCTAACATGAGTAGCAAAATACATCTGGTGTATACCTAGTTAAATTAAATATTGGTAGAATTTCTATTGGTAGAGTTTCCTTGCATGTTTCAAGGCAAGAAAATTCTGCAGGTTGGCCCATTGCTGATGGCCTCTGGAAATATTGGAATTTCTGTTTTCTAGGAAGATCTCTTTCAATATGACTGCTCCATGGACTTATCTGCAGTCCAGACACACAGACTAATTGGAAACAGTGTGGAGTGCTGCAAATGTTCTGTCTTATTTGTAGCAGAGCAGGAGTGAATTGTTTGATAGAATAGATAGTGGCAGCTGAGGGGTGAATCTGACTTCTCACATGTGGATCATTATGGGCTGGAAGTGCCTGGCGCCAGCAGCCAGGATTTCCTGATGCTCAGACCTAATGTAAAATGCATTAGTGCTCCAAGGCATGAGCCATGGAATTGCCAGTCCCATGGGTCTGCAGCTCCCTTTTCCCAACTGGAATTGGTGTTGGAAGGTAAAACCATACGTGCTACAGAGCCTAATTAAAAATAATAGCAGCAAGTCAAGGCGCTTTTTATGTGTTATATAGTGTACATTTCAGCCATAGCAAAACATAATTCTGGGGGATTTTTATGCTTACAGTTTAAAGCTAACAAGAACCTTATGTCAAGGATTTATTTTTAACCAGTTCCAGCTTTTAATAAATCAAGATTTTTGTTATAAAAAATGGTTCATTTTTTCTATTAATAATATTTGAATATGTTTTCAGGAAACTTTTTTAGCAAGAAAGCTGAGTTGTGGTTTTCATAGACAATTAGCAAGTCAGTTAATAGTAACATGTCTTGGAAGTTCAGAGAGAGATTGGTAATTATGAGTAGATTCTTGGTTTTGGTCTTTTAATTTGTTATACTTTTTCATTTATTATACATTTATTTGTTATGCCTTGTCTTCTGGTCTTTGCCTTTTATATTAGGCTTTTCAATTCTGTAATAGAAGCAGTTTTTGCTAAGCAATGGGGTGAGTTCTGAAGTCTCTTTGTCAATTTAAGAGAGAGTCTCTTTGCCACTTAAGACCACCCTGTGAATTTTGAGGTAGGTAACAACTATGAGCTTACTTCTTGCTCCTTAGCCTTGAATAATTTAATCCTTTCTTCTCCTTTCTGCATTCCTGTGAGAAAGAATGAGGATATGTTACCTCTTTAATTTCTCTGAGGCTGTTTCCTGTCCTTGCAATGTGCTCAGAGTGTGGATCAGGACTTTGCCTTGCCTCCAGGAGGGCTGAAACGGCAGCCAGAAAATCCCACGTTTTTAGTGGCTGCACATCTGAGAAACTGAGTTTGTGTTGAGCTGGTGTTGGTGCCCTCAGTGCATTACCAGACCTTGAGTGTGTTCTGATCACCATCCTAATTTTTGAAGCCAAAGAACTGTGTCTGTGAGGAGTGGCTGTCAAGGACCACAGTGAAACTCAAACTGTCTGGAAGATTTTCCCTGTAAGTTCTTTTTGATAACCCAGCCCACACCCCCTGTCATGTGTCCTTTTGTTACTCCAGTTTCATTGTGAACTTCCTTGGCTGGGGAATGCTGTTCTAGCAGAGCTCCAGGGCACCCAGAAAACTCACTTCCTTTTCAAACCAGGACACACTACCATTACAATTCCAGGCTGCTTCATTTGGGAAGATTCAGGGCAATTGGAGCCGCAGCTGTGTCCAAAGGTGCAGTTGCTGAAGTGGTTGACTCTCCTGTGATGCAGCAGGGATGCCACCAGCATCTCTTGTGGAGTCCCTGCCCCAGGAGCCCCTGGACGCACACACCCAGAGCTGCTGCACAGTCCTGGGAGGGTAGGGAGATGCTTTTGTGAACTCAAGCAGAACAGGAATTCAAAATGGTTGAATTATGGATAGGCATCTGCACTCACTGGGTTACCACACTGGGGCTGTTCTTCCTGGTCATTTTCAGGAGGGAAACATGAAGTGGCAGCATTGACAGTAAAAACATCTCTTGATCTGGGGAAAGAGGCTTTTTTTCAAAGACACTGCCTTCCCTTCATGGGGTGTCTTTTCCTTTGAAACCTGGAGTAGCGTTACTCTCAGGAGTTGAGAATGCCACCTCACATCATCTTGCACTGTGAAGTAAGGAACAGCTTTGAAGGGGATTGTAAATGTATCTAGCCCTGAATTCAGCTTTGAAGGGGATTGTAAAAGTATCTAGCCCTGAATTCAACTTAGAAGGGGATTGTAAAAGTATCCAGCCCTGAATTCAACTTAGAAGGGGATTGTAAAAGTATCTAGCCCTGAATTTAATTTTGAAGGGAATTGTAAAAGTATCTAGCCCCGAATTCACTTTGTAGATTTGCTTGCTGCTCTGGACATGTCCACATCCTGATAATTGTTATTTCTGTTATTTGTCATAATGAAGCAGAAGCAGCACAAAAGTGAAGACCTGTGCAGCTGCCTTTTTTCTGATAGTGCCACCCTGGGAAATGCTCTGTTTCTGGGGATCTAGCCTGTGTGTTCTGCAGCTTCTGTTTACAGCTCTTATCCATGAACTATATTCTTAGTGCAGTTGTACTGTTACCTATGAGGCCTATAAATAGAATTATTTCAGAATGTTACATCCACAGGAGCAGTGATAAAGCCCATAAACAGCATCTCTTGTTTTCCTCAAAGGTTTGGAGCATAATGCAGACAGATTGTAAGGTATGTTTTCCATTCAGCAGAAAAGATGTGGCTGAAGAGGTTGTTTTGACAGCTTCTATCCAGGTTTTTTTCATTGGCTAGGAAAAGACTTTTATGATTAGATTACCAGCTTTGAATCATCTTTCTGTCTTTCAGGAGCAGATGGGCATTAGGCATAGATTTGAAATTTTCATCTGTTATTAAAATCTGAATTCAAGGTTTCTGGTTCTGATAAGGCTTAATATTGAGTGAAAGTTTTATGATTGTGGCAAACAAAAATCCCTCACCTTTGGCTGATGTGATGACAGCTTAGTGTCTGAGCTGCAGGGGATAAAGAGCAGCTGAAAGACATCTTCCAGAATCTATGGTCATTCATCAAATTTTAATCACCTTCTGGAGACTAATTACTTTCTTAAGACGCAAACATAATAGTGATGGCTAAATACCTTATAATAGAGATAGCCACAGTATTTTTCTTGCCCCTTGGGGAAGAGGCAACTTCTTAACCTTTCCCAGCTACAGCTAGGTAATGGTACAAACAGTGAGTGCAAAAGCCAATTTTTGGTTAATATCCTCAACAGAGCTCTCAAATCTTCTCAGTCTGTAGCTTTGAAAAGATTAATAGTTAGGAATGCTAGAGCTGGCCAGAACTATTTTTTTTTTTTTCCCCCCTTGAGGAAGTTTTTCACCAGTGCAGGATCCTTTAACCTTGTTATAAAATGCAGCAGGGCTGCCATTGCTCAATCTCATTTTCTGTGAGACAAGGCC